CCAGCGGTCCCCGGTGGCCCGGCGCACCCCACACTCCCCAGCCGCCCGGTGCACCGCCGGTCCGGCGCACCCCCCGGCCGCCAGGCACCGCCGGCTCGGCGCACCCCCGGCCCCGGGCCAGCCCCTGGCCCAGGATTTTCCCGGACATGTTCGGCTTTTAGGGATTTCCCCCCGGACGGGGATTTGAGTCCCAAAAAGCCGGACATGTCCGGGAAAATCCGGACGTATGGTAACCCTAGTTAAAACCGTGGCTGGTTCTCTCTGGAGACGGGCCGCTCTCTATTGTTGTCTGCACTCCTCAATAAAGAGCTTGTCACTGGACCTTGCTGGTGTTGCCAGTCTCTCTGCGGTCAGACAACGAACTGTGCCGTCTGGGTTCGAGTCCCCGACAAATTCAGCCCCCCCGTCCCGTCCCACTGACCCTTCCCCCTCCCACAACTCCGGCTTCTCCCCCCTGCCCGACACTCCTCCTCCCACCACACCACAGGGGACCCCCCGCGGGTCCCAGTCTCTGCCCCCCCCAAATCCCAGCGGTGCCGGGGGCAGATCCTGCTGCAGCTCCACTGGGGCTGAGGCAGCTCCGAGGCTTCTCCCAGGTTCCCCGGGGCAGAGAGTCACTTTCCTGCCCGGCCCCAGTGCCCCCCGGGGTCTCTCACTCACTATGGGGGTCTGGCCCGAGGGCTGGTGAGGGTATTGCCCGGGGCCACCCAGGGGGCGGGTCCCAGCTGGAGAAAGCCCCTCCCCCCGGCCGGGCACGGAGGGGTTAATGCCGGGCTCTCCCCGCACAGACCCCGGGGAGCAGCAGCTGCTCCGCCCGGGCTCCCGGGTCAGACGGCGACAACAGCAGCGTCCGGTCTGGGCCAGAGCCCCGCCCCCAGGAGCTGCCCCGCCCCCGGGCTTTGTTCTCCTGCCTCCCGGCCCCGCTGCCGCAGTTGCTCCAAGCCCCGGCATGTGCCTGGCAAACCGCGCTTGAGCTCGCACTAAGCATGCGCAGTAATAGCTGCCTAAACCTTCCGTTACCTGGTCTAGGAGAGGGCGGAAGCGCCCCCGGTGCAGGCTGGGAGAAGTAATTCCTGACTCTTTCGGGAACGGAAGTGACGTACGTTCTGGCGGTGAAGACGAGCGTGTCTCGCGCTGGGCGGTTGGAGCCTCTCTGGGAGCCGGAGAAGAGTTTTGTGTCTCCCGTTTCTGGGCATGCGGGAGGAGGAGAGTCCCGCATGCGCAGAGGCAGCGCTCACCCGCTGCGGGGCCGGGCGGAGCAGAAGAGTCTGTGCCGGGGAGACCTTCATTAACCCCCCCGTGCCCGGTTCGGGCCCTGCTCCCGCTGGAGCTG